TTACATTTTCCTTATCTTTTTATAAACAGTGCCATATACCAGCCTATAAAGAACTTCATGCCAATCACTGACTATTTATAATAAATCAGAGCTTGATTAATTCCATGTATCAGAACCTTGACAAATCCACACAGATGTGTGAAATGGTCTCTATAGATATAAGAATCTCTTTTATATCATTACAAACCACCAGTACAGTATGACCCCACATATCTACACAACTGATATACAAAGTTTCACTTAGGGTCACCTATACAAGCCAGTACACCCTCTTCTCAATCCTGTCAACATTTGTCCCACTAAAACAATAGGGTAGGCTAATATCTGCTGTTTTACATATACATGAAAATTTCAGGAATGTATTCTCTATTATATAATCTATAACAAACAGGATTGTGTACCTTTGCCACATTTCTGCTATCAGTATTGTGGCTGCCGATTGAAGCATTTCCAGTAAAACTGCCATAACAGTTGCATGTTCCTTATGTGGGTTGTTTATCAATAGATTCATACCCCCTGGATCTTCTCAAACATGCTAAACTACTTGCAAACAAACCAGTAGGGAACATGCAACTCATTAAAAGGCAAAATGACACTTCTCATGAAAACAAAATTCCTTGCCACTGTACCACTGATTTTTAATAGTAAAGCCAGCAGTACCTGCAGCACAATGCAAGAGTCCTGCAGTTCTCAGACAAAGCAACAAGTGGCCCTGGGTCCATGGAAATTGCTCATATCTTGTCTATATGAAACAGCTCTCCATGTTTGAGTGAAAAAGATTTTACAAATGTTTATAGAGAAGGCAGGGACTGATTCTAGAAAGGTTTTTTTCAAGCAAAATAAAATAAAATATTGACAAACCCAGTGCATTTCAGCAAAACAGAACACGATAACATTAAAGCAAAGGCTTAGCAAACTTATTTACAGGTGTTATTTTTTTATTGTATGCTCAAAGATTTCTCTGCTGCTACAGAAGAAAACCCTGGGGATATAGACCACATGCATTAAAAGTCTGATATACCAACCACTGACTATTAGCAGTCAACTGGTAACAGTCCAAATTGGATTAATTTCCTCTGTCAAAAGCATGATACATCCCCTTAGGAATTTAACTTGAGTTCTGTATTAGTCTTTTTAAAAGTTGTATGGATTTTTCGTCTTTCTTTTCAAACCTTTACACAAGCTAGCTAAGATTTCCATAAGATATATGTACTATTTTTGGATACTATTGATACTATTTTAGGCATATTCAAATCCTTTTTTTAAGTGTCTGGAGAGTTGAGGAAACTTTGACAAGAAGTGTCTGTCTCAGAACTCCAAAACACATGTTTTGCTGTTGCTTTTTTGCCTTCTCCTTCCTACACAAAATGTCTATTTCTGCATAGAAATATTATTTTATGTGCACTTTGAAAAACAATACTTTTTTATGTGAAAATTAATCTCTGAAGAAGTGGAAGAAATTTTCTGAGCAAGTTACCCCATCCCTCAATATATGGCCATTTCACAAAATAAATTCCAAACTGCAGAGTTTTAAAGAACTATTTTGCAGTTGCACAGAAACAGCTAAATTATTTTTGCCCATGAGATGAAGCTGCACCACTAAAAAAATGCCCCTGCTTCTTCTCATTTTTTTTGTGAGCTTCAAAAATTGGGGGGAACTCCAAACAGGCCATCTCATGATCTCTTTGGTGATGGAAAAACTTTATGAATGGTGTCCAAACATTTTATTCTGAAATAAGTTGTGAAGTATTACTCAGTGGAGCATAGGCCCAGGTAGGTGTACGAGGCAGTGAAGCATTAAAAAAGTGGGATGTTATGGAATGGCTTATGATCCCAGTGTCAATGTGAATTTTCTCTAGTTTTAATCAGTAAAACATTTAACATAAAAGGAACTAGTATGCACTTTGTAGCACTTTGAGGCTAACTGAGATGGGGAAAATTAGCATAAACTTTTGTAGGCTTAAGTCTACTTCATCTGATGCATGGAGTGAAGAGACTACTGATGAAGTCTACTGATGAAGTAGACTTAAGCCTCTGTACTTGATCACACAAAGACACCATCCCCTGGCATTTGTGCAATCACAGATACTGGCAACTTACTGGGATGATCACAACCAGTATCATGCCTCTCCATGCTTATGGAATAGCAATGATTAGCTGATCCATGTTCTTGCACTTCCTGTGGGGAACATAACTCCCATACTTCCATTCCTCTGTAAGTGTTTTCCAAAATTATTTTGAAAACAACTTTGCAGTTTTAGCAAAGCATTAGTTTTTTTAAAAAACATAGGGGAGGAATATTTAATTACTTCAAGAGGAGAGGAGCCAGAGTAAAAGTGAATCAGCCATATTGTATGTGGTAAGTGTGGGACTAGGGCATGATGTATTTTTCCATCGGTGGCAGGAGATGGTTTGCTTGGAAAAATGGTAGAAATGGTAGATTGGCAACCAGTTGTGCATATAATTTGTCATGATGCCAGGGCTCTGCTGTTATTTAGGCAGAGTTGAATCAAATACCCAGTTTGTAAGAAACAGTTTAATTAAAACAGCACTTACTTTCTGGCTGTTTTAATAGTCCAAAATAGAAAACATAAAGATTGCACTCAGCCACAGAATATAAAACAAAACAGCAAACACTGTTGCAGGTTCAACATAACTCCGTAGTCAAAAGGTCCAGTTCATTTTTACTTGGTTATGGGTCTCAAATCTATACTTACTTTTTTTACGTTTTTTTCCTCCTCTTCCTATTCCCTTTTTCTTAGTCTTTTTCTTTCTTTTTTTTTTCTTCACCTACCACCTTTCTTTTCGGGGAGATCTTAGCTTTCACATCTTTTAGTGGCTTTGGCTACACAACTCTATTTTAAATGTAAACCGGAAATTTAATAAAGACATTATATAAAAAAAAGGTCCAGTCCAGTGGTCAAATGACAAGAGTTCAGTAAACAAAGTCCAGGGATCAACAGTCTATGCTGTAGTCAGCCAGCCCAAAGATTCAAGGTTCCAGGATTCCAAAGGTTCAGGAGACAGGTCAGGACATCGAAAATTCACAAACCTGGGGGGAAACCAGCAGCATCTAACACCAAGATAAAACAAATACTTTTCTCCCAAAGATCAGTCCCAAGATTAGCTCCTTATATCCAGGAACATCCAGCTGCAACTTATCTCTTGCATGCTTTCACCCTTAATTGCTTTCACCCATAAATGCTTAGAGATTACTCAACCCTTTAAAACTAAGACTTACATTACCGCTTCCATCACCAACTGCTAGTTCTTCCACCACCAACTGCAGAACATAATGCATGACATAACTGTACAATCGTAACTCTTATCAAATAGTTAGGACCTCATCAGACCAGTAGAGGGAAAGTGGGAGAAAGTGGAGGGAACCATTCTCCTTCATTTCCTACTGTCTTTCCCCGTCTTCTGGGATGGCTTCCCATCTCACATGGTTTTCTGTTCTTCCCCCATCCTTTTCGCACTCCCTCTTCTTGTTCTCCAATTGGAGTCAGGTAACACTGACTTCTTCAAAGTCATTCTGGGATCTGTTTCCCCACGCTGCTGAAATGGAGCCCTGTGAAACCCTGCTGGAAGTTGCCCTGCATCATGTGATGGGTTCCATGAGACTCAATTTTGGCAACAGGGGTAATGGGGAAATGATTCAGAGAAGACTGCATCTGAAAAGGTCATAGATATCATCAGGTGACACTCCTGTTTTAATGTTCATTTGCCACCTTTGTGTAATAAAATCCTGTGAAAGCTTATATTACTCACTTTTCTCCCAGTAAGTCTTAATGGTACTACAATATCCCTTTGCATACTAATCCAGACTAACAATACAATGTCACTAGTTCTATAACACTGGAACCATTGGGTTTTCACTTCACATATGTGGAGCTATTATGGGAACAAAAAAGGGGGAGGGGTTTGGAGAACTATAGGTAAGCTTCAGCTTTTAGTAATAACTGGGACAAATAATGTTTTTATAGCCTAAACATTATAGATTTAGGAGGAAAAAATTGTAATGCTTAAGTTCATATTAGAGCTCACATCGATAGAATGGAATTCTTCTATTGCTTCTTTTCAAGGCTAGTCTTTTATTATTTTTGTTGCTGTTGTGTACCTTTAAGCCATTTCTAACTCACACTGGTGTTGAGGGGATTTTTCTTAAGAGAAGTTTTGTCTTTACCTTTCTCTGAGACTGAGAGATTATAACTTGTTCAACATCACCCAGCAGGTTTCTATGGCTAAGTCAGGATCCAAGCCCTGGTCTCCAGAGTTGTAGTCCAAAGCTCAAACTGCTACCTGACACTGGTTCTCATCTTGTGTTGCACTATGTAATATTCAGTAATTAAACAACAAAATTGGTTGATCAATGGAGAGTTTTTGCTTCCCCCAAACAACGAGACAGTCCCCAGACTTCTGAGTCATTCAGCTCTTCTTATTTAAATTCTTTTTAACCTCTTTTGAAAATTCCAACAGATCTGTTACCAGAATAGAGCCTTCCAAAGCCAGCTCAAATTTGCTTCAGGCCAAATTCAGTGGCAATTCTATTCCCAAGATTCATAGTTTCCAAGGTTATATCAACTAAAGTAAAGCAAATCTTGATTTTAGATCTTTCCAAAGTACATGTGCACATACAGAGAGAAACCATTTATGCCACTAGATGCTTGAGGTCCTAACTATTGCAGAAATCCCACTGTTTACATTTGAAGGGCTAGAGGTGCATGAGGAAGCTGTTCTAAGAAGACTTTGAACCATTAGAATATGTTTTTCATTTCTTTTCTTCCATCGTTCTTTGACAGGTACTCTTTTTAAAAATGTATTGGTGAGTCCAGGTATTTTTATTTAAAGAGTTTAATGCACAAAACAACTAAGGAGTCATCTGTCATGTTTCTCTTGGAATTTTTTTCTTAAAAGACAGAGACATAGAGATGAAACACTTACACACACTACCAAGACACTCACACTGTCTCTTGTAATGCTTTTTTTAAATTTCCCAGGCACATATCAGTTCAACTCGCTGGAGTCTGCACCACTTGGGACTTCACTTGGAAGAATAAAAGCCAATGACCCTGATGTGGGTGAAAATGCTGAGATTGAATACAGTATTGCTGCCGGCGATGGATCGGACGTGTTTGATATCATCACTGACAAGGGCACACAGGAAGGGATTATAACTGTCAAAAAGGTTTATTTCTCTTCCTTCTCTTTTATTGGACTTAGTACTATAGGGCTTAGGTTTTTTTGTCAGACAGAAAGGGGGAGAAGGCTTTGTGGAGGGGTCAACAACTGAGAAGCCACCATATTAGGCTGTCTTCCCTTTTCTAGCCAGGTAATGGTTAACAGTTCAAGCCTTGTGGTATTTTTTTAGAAATAAAAAAGTTCTTCACTTAAAGGAATATTCTCAGCAGATATACTCAAACACTATATGATAACTTCTGAAGGATGTGCATGAAAATCTTACTAAGGATATAAAGAAGGTGGGTCCCTTCATAAACTCACATACCACCTACATTCTGCCATTTTAGTTGCTGAGACTGGAAATAGCCAAGCTATTACATGTTATTTTGGAGGTAGGATTTTGAGGAACTCCAGCTTGTAATGAGTATTTTATATGGAGAGCCCATGGTTTGCTAATGAGACTTTCCCATCCACTAGAACTTTCTCAAAACAGCTGTGTCAGTGAAATCCTTGAAAATAAGGCAGAGGAAATTTCAAATTGATCTTATAGCTCTTGTTTCAGCGAGTAAGAGGAATAACAATGAGCCAATCCAAATATGAACTGATCATATCAGCAGCATATAGACTCCAAAGCTTCTCTCAATTTGTTATTTTGGTGGGATCTAAATAACAACAAATGATTTAGAGAAGCTTCATTCTTGTGTCCCTCATGCATGTATGTAGTAAATAAAGAAACATCTGCAGTCCAAGAAATTCTGCAAGCAAACTAGAATCCCTGCAAGGAGTTGCTGGCTCAGGGCATCTGCTATCAAGTTCTCTCATGCTGGACCTAGTAAGCAGATGGCCTCAGAGGTTACCTTTATGAAGATAACCTTTAATGAAAAAAATGTATGCCAGATGGCAAATCCATACTGTGTCTCTCCATAGCACAAGGAGGTGAAGAAAGAAACATATTAAGCACTATCAGCACCTGTGTGTTTGCAGCCAAGAATGAAACACAACGCACACTGTAAAAAGAGGGGTGGGCTTTTTCCTGGGGTGAGAAAGAACTCCAGACGGAAATCTTGAAACTGATCCAGGAGCCATATGTTATCTTGAAACTTCATCTTGTCTTATTTAAGTACAGATATAAGGATCTGCATTAGAAGATCTCATTTACCCCAACATAGAGACTCTTATTGTTGGCATGGCCCTTTTTCATACTATTATGAATACTATATGTCCTGATTCCCACGTCGGGTCATCAGGATACCATTTTAAGGGCATAAGAGAGTGGGAGCTCCTTATCTTTACTGTATAGATGTCTTCCAACCTGAAAATTTCCTTCAAATAAATTAAGCTCCTCAAAACAAAGAAAGACTAAGCAAAGCAAAAACTCCATCACTTGTGACGGTGGTGGGACCATAAGGAGAGCCTTCCCAGCACATCTTAGAGTCTAAACCAGTTCATTTGGGGGGGGGGGGGGTTGCAGTCATGAAGATAGCCAGGGCCCAAGTCATTTAGGGCTTTATAGGTGATAACCTACACTTTGAATTGGGACCGGAAACTTATCGGTGTCCAATTGAGCTGCTTTAAGAGGGGCATCATGTGCTCCAGTTACTAGCTTGGTAAACTAGAAGTGGAATCTAATAATGAAACCATCTAATTGTTCAAGGAGCTCCACTGGCTGCCGTTTATTTTCCAAACCCAATTTAAGGTGCAGGTGCTTACCTACAAAGCTCTAAACGGTTTGAGACCATCCTACCTGCGTGACCGCATCTCCGTTTATGAACCCACACGCTTACTTCGTTCATCCGGTGAGGCCCTGCTCGCGATTCCGCCTGCGTCGCAGGCACATCTGGTGGGGACGCGAGACAGGGCCTTTTCTGTGGTGGCCCTCCGACTCTGGAACACCCACCCCAAAGATCTTAGACAGGCCCCTACATTGGCAGTCTTTAGAAAGAACTTGAAGACCTGGCTGTTCCGATGTGCATTTCCAGAATAGGAATCCTCCAACAACAAGTCCCAGAAGCACTTTATTAGAAATTAAGATTGCTGGCACACTGCACTTACCCCATAACCCTTACATACCACCTATCACGTCAGCACTTTTAATCTGTACCCATTACTCTGGCCCGGCCCAGTTTTATTGTGTCTTGGTGTATTGTTTATTGCTTGTTGTTTAATATTGCTTTAACTGTTTTTAATTTGCTTTAGGTTGTGTATTGTTATGTTGTGTTTTGAGGCCTTGGCCTTCGTAAGCCGCATTGAGTCCTTCGGGAGAAGCTAGCGGGGTACAAATAAAGATAATAATAATAATAATAATAATAATAATAATAATAATAATAATGACTTTCAAGTTCCTTGACAATGTGTGGCTTATGGTAACTCTGTAAATTTCATAGATATCTTCTCTGGGAATGTATATATCATCCAGGATGACACTATGGTATGCTGAGAAAAGAAGTTAGATAATTGAGTGACATTTGGTTACAACTGTAGTATCAAGTAGCTATGGTCTGGTCCATAATGTATCCCTTCACAGAAATGAGGTTCTAACTGTGTTAAAGTTTAGTAACTAATCATAGCTGCTAAACTAAAGTTTAGCAACTAATCATAGTTGCTATAGTCCATTCACACAATTCAATCTTTGCTGTATAACACCAATAAAAAGTTAGGCAAGAATATAACATGGGGAATTGAGTCATTCATAAATCTTTATCTCATCTGCTAATCTCCAGCCTGCAAATGCCACTCTAACAGATTTTAATCCCCTCCCAGGTCAAGATCCAAACCAGAAGTGATACCTGTTCTGAGTCACTGATTTAGAATTCATTTATATTAGGGAATTGTGAGATATAAAGGCAAAATTCAGCTAAAAGCAAAAAGAGAAAAGAAACAGCAATTTATTGCAAATGTTAGCATGTATTTATACCATCCTTCTCATAGCCTGCCATAACAGAAAGCTATGGAGAAAACATTTTTTTTCATATGGCACTCAATTACAAGTTCAGTGTCATTTCTGAATTTGGCACATGTCTGCCAGAATCTTGGTAATCCCAACTCAAGTAGATCTACTCAACCATTTAATAAATATTTAATCAACAGTTATGTGATTCAATGGGTTTTTATCCATCTGAGATTATCAATATGATTTTAGCTATCTAGTTCCACCCTCAGGTCAGCCAAAAGAATTATGTCCAAGTTTTAGGTAAATATAAAACAAAGTCACTTTTTTACTGACCTTCTGAAAATTGACTATAGAACCATTATATATATGTGTGTGTGTGTGTGTGCGTGTGTGTGTGTGTGTGTGTTGAGTTCAGGTTTATTTAAAAAGAGTATTCTTAATGGAGACATTGATCACAAATGAAAATAATTTCTTGCTGACATATATTTTACGCTAATTGTTCCCAAATTACTCTCTTCAGAGTAGGTATACTTCTGGTTCACTCGGATCAACAGCAATTCAGCCATTGATTTCAGTAGAATGTAGATTGCATTTAATGGTGCATGCAAAATGCAGCATGTTTCAGCAATCCTCAGTCAGATGAAGCAGTTATTTGTATTGATTGATGGACACACACCTTCCAACACTCTCAACTACACAATGTTAAAGACTCAGCTTCAAAACCTTTATTGTTTCTGCTTCCTCTCTGTAGCAGTCAAGGCTGTAATTTCTAAGCCCACTCACTTGGAAATAAACCATGCTGATTCCACTGATTTTATTTTGAAGTTAAATGTAGGACTTTTAAATAAGTTTAGTTCTCTTCTTCTTCTTCTTCTTCTTCTTTTTACAGTATCTTAGTATCATAAATACTGGAGTCCAAGTTCTGAATTTTCTTCCCTAAGAGATACATATTGGAAACTCAATACACTCTTGTTCATCCATTTCTCTCTGACAATAAGACATAATATCAACCAAATGGTTTTAATGAGATGGTTCTTTTAGCTTGTGAGAGTTCCATTTTATAAACCTGAAACCACCAAAAAAGAGATATGTCAAATGCACAGCCTGGGAAATTTGATTTTTTGACTACTACTCTGAGAACTCTGGAAACTGGGGGTTATATTCCTTCAAAGAGGTAATGTTTCCCAGTCTTTGTTCAATTGTGCTAAGACATGGAAACAAGACAAGCTACTTCCAGGCTTTTCAGTTAAAGCTGGGGATAGGAATTTGGAATATATCTAACATTGGATGAAAAATACAAGGACCCATATTATAAATAATAATAATAATAATAATAATAATAATAATAATAATAATAATAACAACAACTTTATTTATATATTTCTCTATCTCCCCAGGGGGACTCAGGGCAGTTTCCAAACAACACCAAAACATACAGTCACAACATGATAAAAAAAATAACAATAACAGCAACATAAGCATGGAATTACCCAACAACACATAAATCTTAAAAGAAAAAAATCCTGCGTGCTCTTCATGTCTATTTGTTAGGGCATGACAAACCAATGGTTAGAACAATTAAAAGGCTTGGTCAAGACTGATACAAATTTTAAAAAAGATGATTGAATTACCTTTCATCTCTCTCTCTCTCTTTCTCTCTCCCACTTGCCCTCCCTCTCTCTCCTGCTTTCATAAGCTTATAATTGTTGTAAGGCTAATGATGTAATCTGTAAAAGATGGATAATATATATTGGTTTAGTTCCTTGGAGGAAAACAGGAGAGAACTTAAGTACACATACTGAGAGAAACAAAGAGAGAGAATGTATGTGCTTTTTATTAGTATTTCCATCAAAACTTTTTTTTCATTGGGATTCAAAATATTTAAGAAGATTTAGGTCATTGAAGTAATGTGATAAAATATATGGCAAATGAAAGTGTGGAAAAATCCTACATGTATACCCTGTACAAGCCAATTGCCTACCAAAATGAAACATTATAGATTTATTTCAGAAAAATATTGTTGGGTTTGAAAGGAAAGAGCAAAGAAGAATCAAAATTCTGCCTCCATAATTTCTCCCACTATTCAAAAATCTGTTCTCAGTAGATACATGCATTCTTGGACACAAGAAAGACAACCACAAATAAACAACAATCACTCAATGAATCAATCAATAATCAATTGTGGTTTTTAATTTTGAATTTGTTTTAATGGTTTTTAACTGGGATTTTTTAAAAATACTGTTCCTATTTAATCCTGTTTTAATGTTCACATATATGTATATTTTTAATGGTTACGCTCATGCTTTTATGTTAAGCTGCTTTGAATCCACTTCAGGAGAGATAAAGCAGGGTATAAAATATAATAAATAATTATACTACTACTATTACTACTACTACTACTACTAATAATAATAATAATAATAATAAGTGCAATTTTTATGCTAGTTTGTTTCTTATCATTCTGAAACGTGCTTGATTTTTTTTGTATATGACCTTTTTTGTTTCTCTTTTCTTGTTCTCCTTTTTGAATGCAAGCAATTAGATTTTGAAAAGAAGAATCTGTATATCCTAAAAGTGGAAGCAACCAACACTCATCCCGATCCACGATTTTTCTACATGGGACCATTTAAGGACTCGGCTCTGGTTAAAGTTTATGTGGAAGACATAGATGAACCACCAGTTTTTAGCATACCTTCAAACTTAATAGAAGTAGATGAAGATGCCAGGGAAGGAAGTATCATTGGGCAAGTGATAGCTCAGGATCCAGATGCTGCAAGGAACATAATAAAGTAAGTTACCTTTCACAAACATGAAAATGCATTAAAAGTGTATGTCCCTTACACAAGTCTGGCAAATATCACTATTTAATAAACTATTGTTCAAAACATATCATTTCAATGTATCAATGCTGACCTGTACAACAATAAGTTTCCCATTCCAACCTGTATTAGCATTTTATGGTTAGGTCTTTCCCCAGCCCTTTCCCAGAAGTTTTGGTTGATAACACCCCTGGTCATTTGTGGGACTGATAGAAGTTGTAGTCCAAGGCATCTGGAAACAGCCAGATAAATAAAAGTTCTAGCATTTTAGAGACATCAGAATGTTTCCTATCTCGTTCACTGACAATGTTTCATTCTGCCAGCTTATAAGTCTAGGCTTGATCCAGCAGTAAAACTATGACATGTGATTTTGGTTTATTTGTGGACACATCTGTCCACGTACCATTACCTTGTAGCAAATATCGACTTAAAATAATTGTCAATGTACTATGCTACAACAAGATTACACATTTTATTGTTCAATGTTCAGAAAAAACTTTGTATTGTTTGTGATTTTTTTGGTTATGGGTATGTCTATTTTTGTTTAGCACATTATAATATATATTGGCCATTTAATGAAGTTTCAACAGAATATTGAAGAAAGTGTTTTCCGTGGGCAGATGATTACATAAGAATTTCTGGAACCAGCTTGAGGCTTGGATGATGATCAGTGCACAGAACATCGGTGGACATTAAGGGCTTTCTTTCTCACACTTTTGTGAGAGCCTGTTGTCTGGTCACCACAGTTTGACGCTAGTAAGACAGATTTGATGTATTTCAAGCTAGTTTCAAACTGCATTAAATGGTCAGTTTAGATAAAACTTTTATCACAGATCAAAAGCCACATAGACACCAAAATATAATCCAGTTTCTGATCCCAGATTATCTGCTTTGAACTTGATTATATGACAGTGTGGATGCGTATAGAGTAGAGTCTTGCTTATCTGACTTTTGCTTATCTGACATTCTGTCTTATCTGATGTTCTTATCTCATGCCCCCCTTTTCCTCCAGCATTTCCTCTTCAATTAAAGGAATGCTCCTTATTCCAAATAAAGAGAAAGGCAAGATAAGAAAGAGGAGGAGAGGAGGGAGGAAAGGGGAGAAAAGAGGCAGGACCGGAAGTGTAAGTGTCCTCCCTCCTTCCCTCTGTGATTTTCACGCTCTTCTTCCACATCTGGGAAGTTCCTGCTGGGCCACTCTAGCCCCGAAGCATTGCCTTGCCTTAACCCTTTGAGTTCCTGTTGTTAGTAGTATAGTATAGGTGTCTAGTGCCACATAAGATGGTTAACAGAAGAGTCCGTATTATCCAACATTTTTGTTTATCTGACTTTCTGCCGGCCCGTTTATGTTGGATAAATTGTACTCTACTGTAATCCAATTCAAAGTGGATAATCTGGGACAAGATCCTGGATTACATGACAGTGTAAATCCATCTTCACAGGCAGTTCACATTTTCTATCTCCAGTGTCACAGAAGTTGGTGTGGCTGGGGAAAAGAGCGGTGATCTATGTGAGTGCAGCTCATCCCTTTATCAAGAGAAAAAAAGTAAAAAAAAGGAAGAGGGACAAAATACTTTTTCTTATGATCACCACAAATATGAATCAAATACTAGCTTTAATGTTCACAATGACCAAAGGAAAACAGGCAGTCCAGCATCTTTGCTGCTGGCAACTAAAACATATGTTTATGAAAAATCAATCTGAGTTTCTTAAGGCAGCTGAATTAGGGATTTGGATCTTGATTTCTCCAAAGCAAGTGTCAAGAACAATGGAGCAGTTTTTAAAATATGTTTTGTGTTGTTTAGATAAAGATATACTGTGCAATTCAATCTGTTTTATTCTGCAATTTCCCTATGGATATAGTAAAAGTAATGTAGCTAGTGTGGGGGGTGTAGGGGGGCGGGTTTGTGTAGCTTCCTACTTGGATTAAAAAAAGACTCTGATTGTAGGTTATGACTGAAAACCTAATCAGTTTCTCAGACTTTTGCACAGTTCTCAAAAACTGCACAGTTTACTTTGTGTCAGGAACACACAGTCCTCACAAGTTCTGGGAATCTTTGACTTTCAAGGGGTCAGGAACTCCAAATTCAACCGAACTGGTGGATTACAGTTCCATCCTTCATAACCACAGATCTAACCTACCTCTGATCCATGGCAGTATAATTTGTGTTCATTTTGTGTAAACAGTATGAACACTGAATATTAGGCATGGTTAGGTTCAGTCAGAATCTTCGTAATTCAGACAGGATGTTTTATTGAGGATTTACTAACTTATGCTTTTACTGGCGTTGTTATGATTTTATTGATGTTAATGTTTTTAAATTGTTCTTGTAMTTTGTGGCATTTAATTTTATTTATTTATTTATTTATTTATTTATTTATTTACTTTATTTGTATACCGCTCTTCTCAGCCAATTAGGCGACTCAGAACGGTTAACAACAAGTAGCGGCAAAAATCAATGCAAACATCGTACAGCCATTTAAAAGACAATTCACACAATAATACAATAAGCAATTAACATCAATAACCATCAGTAAACATTGTAAAACARCTTGAGTTGCCGCAAGACTGAGAGGGGCAGTATACAAATAAAGTAAATAAATAAATAAGAAATAATTCAGCATTTTAAAACAGACTGGATGAATTTTCCCCCCTCCTCTCCTCTCGCCTCTGTCTGGATCCTAGGAAGTATTTTAAAACTGGATGAATTTCCTCCCTTTGCTTCCCCCTTCCCCCCCCCTTCTGCAGTAAAAAAACTACTTTCAAAGTAAAGACCACRCATTGAAACAGAAAAAAGCACTTTCAAACCATTATGGAAAGGATTTGGAAGTCTCAGAAGTTTCAAAAAGTTTTGAATATTTTTTTCTGTGAAAATCAGAATTTACTGTAGAATCAAACCACCAGCACCCCCTACATTTGAAACGAGTTTTGAATCATTTTTTGATCAAACAAACTGAATATGTATCCTTGATTACATAAGATGAGATCTAATGATTGTATTAATTCTTGAAACCTGAAATCAGTAGTACTTTTCTAATGCACTTCTGACCATTAATAGCGACACCAACAGGATTGCCATCAAGAGTTGTGCACATATGATACTTCATATGCTTGTGGTATACAGTGGCTTGTTGGCTGAAAACTTTGCTGAAAATCATATGTAAATAAAATGATTCATTTATTAGGGGATGCATCTTTTTTCAGCTGATTTCCCCCTAACTATTTTTACATTAGCAATCCTACAATCTCAGCACTTGTATTCTTCCACAATATCACTGGAAAGTTTATATATACACAAACTACATGCTTATCAAAACAATATTGCATGCAATTACCTTACATCAGTAGAACTGTCAAGAGAACAATTTATGAATACCAACACAGATAGGTAAGAAATTATTTGACATATAAATAAGTTTATATTTTCTAAATATGTGCTCTTAAAAACAAAGGGACTGTTCATGAAACCACATTTAAGACTGATTTAAAAATAAACTCAAGAAACTCTTCCTGTCATCCAGGATTTTGTTTTGTTTTGTTTTGAAACCTTATTTTTAGAGAAAGAGATGTTTACAAATAAGTTGTTTTGACTTAGGTTAGAAGTAAACCTTCCAGACGTTTTGGATCACAACTTCTCATATCCCTGACCTTTTTTTTCTTTTGTTAGGTGTTTGTGAGTGTTATAGTCCAAAATATCTAGAAAGTACCAGGTTTTTCTACCCATGATATGGAAGTTGGTTATTTGTGCAATGTGCTGTTACCCCCACCTACCCACCCACCCAAAATGTGCTTTAAAAATGTGTTTAATGAAAAATATTTGTATTGGCAAATGTTAGCTGCATATCTTTGTTAACGAGATCAAGTGTTTTGCAAAGTGTAACATCATTTGTGTGACATTATAATGCAGTCTTCTTCTTTCTGAGAACCTTAGCTATTAATAAGTGAAAAGTAATTGAATGATACATTATTTATGCAACTAATCCTCAATAAATAGCTATGAATGTTGACACACTTGTTCTTTCGATTATTCCAATGTTTTCAATTATTTTCATGAACCAAAAGTAAAATGCCTTGTGGTCATCCAGATATTGTTGGCCCAAAATTCCCATCAGCCCTAGACAGGATAGAAGGTGATTGTTCTAATTTTGTCAAGGAAACAAAAACAAATAGTTACAAGTAGGCCTGGGTAACAACGGAAAAATTTGTTTCTAAAATCGATTTGTATTTGGGGGGTTTTTTTGTTTCAATATTTAAAATAATTACAAAATTTTCCTTTTAAAAAGTTCGATATTTACGAAATTTCGTAAATGGTAAAAAATTAACGAATCGATTTCCGAAACAATAACGAATCGATTCGTTAATGGCGGACGCGACCGCGAAATACGCTAAAAAACCTCCAAAACCTTCTGAAGCTTCCCTCTCCCTCTGTTGTTGACTGTTGGTGTGGTATTATAATTTTTTTTCACTAATTAAACCATAAAACTGGCCCAGACATGCGGAAATAATAACGAAACGACCTCAAAACAATAACGAAACGAATACAATATCGAAATACGAAGCATTTACAAAACGTTTTTGAAAATTCGTTTTTTTTTAATAATTGCTCCAGAATGGTTCGTTATCGTTTTGTAATTGAAAAAATTAACGAATTATTAACGAATTACGAATTAACGAAACGAAACCGCCCAGCCCTACTTACAAGACCACTCTACCTTGTTTGCCATTTAAAAATGTTCAAATCCAGATGTACATTTTTTATTACTGGGGGAGTTCATTGGGAGTTTTGTGATCTTCCTGGAGGATCCCAGTAGCAGTTGTAGTAGTCTTTCCCAGGTCTAAGTGCACAATTCCCTCTGTGTTTGTTGAGAAATATGTCCATTTATTTTACTAGCACCTGCTTCAAATAAATGTGTTATGATTACAGTCTTCATTACAATGAGGATATAGGGTGCCTGAGTGTAAAAACAGCATTCTACCTTTTTATTTTTACCATTTTAGGGTTTCATTTTTCTCCCCCAAATAAAAAATGTGTTGTAATCTGAATTAAAATGTCTTACAGTGGACATTCCCAGCCATTTTGCTGTGGTTGCTGGCCTGTGATTGTGAAACTGGTGTGAAGATTTTCAGTTATTTCCCCAGCATATGCCGTGTGGAACACTGAGCATTTACTGGACTTGCAAATGATACCTTTGTTTACAGTAATAGGACAAAAGGGAGTCATTTAGATTGTGAAAGTGATAATTTTCCTAAGATATGTACAGATGACATAATGATCAGATTCACACAGTAGCACTCCAGGATTGATGCCAGGTGGTTTTACCTCCACTCTCACAAGTTAACAGGTCTGGAGGATCGTGGAAAGCAATGGAAGAAATTCTGCTGTCAACTGCCTTGCAGTGTCATGGCAGTTATGAGGTGTTGGCAGGAAGTCTGCCACAAAAAAAAAATGCAACATTCTTTATTAATGTTTTCCTTGCCTTTGTATAAAAGAAGCAACTTCTGGATAGATTCCTGGTGAATCTTAAAGTCTTGGACATGAGGAAGGATTTCAGACTGGTAATAACTGTCTTCTGCTGCAGTTGTCAAGTGTTCCCACCAATGTGTTGAAGATTCCTGCAGACCTGCTCCATGGCTTCAGTTCTGTTGGCCCCTGCCTATGTTTCCCTTTGTTTTACACTATTTCTGCTCTTTCTCCTCAGTTTTCAACTTTATCTCCCTTTTCTTACCTGCTGCTTGTGAATGTAGTATCTAGAGAGAGAAATCTCATTTTTTTTCTACATTGTTATGTACTTTGTATTGCAGATGTGGGAAGCAAATATAATGCAGTTCTGTAAAACTCTACTTGCATGAAGGGGTGTGTGTGTGTGTGTTTGTGTGCATAGTATGTCACCTTATAGGACATAGTCACCTCTAGGCTGAACCATTCTCCCACACAAGTTGGTATTTTGTGATCATTCACTGAGTTATTTGGAATCAGGCCTCATCTACAGTGACCATTGAATACAGTCTGAACTGTGTTATATGGCCAGTGTCGACTCACATGATACAGTTCAATATAATTAAATTTTATGAGTGTATATTGGCCATATAATGCAGTTCAAATTGCATTAAACAATCAGTGTAGATAGTGCCATACAGCTTCATGAACACAGGCTTTCTTACCCGTCATAGGATGTGTCAAGTACAATTCCTGGATGGAGCCTGCCAGATACTTTCTGACAACACACAGCTTCTCTCAGCGGGATTCAGTCCATGAACCATGCTGAAAGCAGCCTACGACAAAGCCCTGTGTTTTCATTTGATAGAATAGGGAAAGTGCGAGGGGAAGCCAGGTGGTGCTGCTCCCCCCAGGAGGGGAAAGGGAGCAATACACATAATGCAGGGCATGGAGCAATGGATTCCTTCCTATGCTGTCTGCTGGATTTTCCCCACTGCCCCAGGGATGCCCCTACTTTCCTCCGGCTTCAGGAGCCTAATGTGATGAGGTCCATGGTCTCTCTCTTCTTCTAACCATTTGAAATGATTGTTATAGCTAAGCCAGAGAGGAAGAAAGCTATATATATGAAGAAAGTTTATTGGAGAAAATGTGAGATAAGGATATGATGCTTATATATACACAGAAGTTATTTTTATGAGATAGCATAGATTTTATTTAACACAATCTCAGTCTGTAGAATGAAGAAGACAATTTTAATTAAGTTCTTTTGCATAATTTATAAAATGGTCTTCAGTGTCAACATCATTTTTAAGATTTTGGCCATTTGTTCTTCTGAAGTCATTATCAGCAACAGAAAATGTAGCTGTTTCTCTGATAAAACAGAAGGCTAAGTAAAAATCTTTATCTTTTTGCACCTAGCATTCCTGCATCTTTTTATTTTTTGTTGTCACATCCTTACCACCAATCTGCTTTCAAATTTATTCAATTTCAGTTCTTCCTGTTTCATGTTTTTGGTCACAGAGATACTTTTCTCTTTCTGCCACCTCATCAGATAGGCTACTTTGTCCATCGTACACAGCTTGTTGTTCCCTTTTGAGACAGAGCCCATTATATGACATACATGAACTTCCAGCCAGGCTCCGTCAGGAAAGGGGAGAGCAAGCAGTGTATGCCACCAGCACAGCTATGTGAGGCTTCCCATGTTGCCCTCAGGACAATGGGGGGAAGCCCCCAGATACTTCCCCCATGAGATGGAGACAAAGGTAAGTTGTGCAATGTGGGATATGGAGCAACGGGTTCTCCATGCCCCCTGCTGGGACCCCATGGATTTGCCATGATGTTTGGTGAATCCTGAAAATAATGTGATGAGGTCTTTAGTGATGTTTTTGTTACCATGTAAATCTTTACAGTGGGCCCTCAATATCTACTGGAGTTTGGTTCTAGGACTGCTGTGGATACAAAAATCTTAAGATTCTTAAGTCTCCATCTCTACAACTACTGTATCGACCTGGCCTTGCTAGGATGTGGAAGGCACTACTGTCCCTCTGCTTTCATCCTTTCTTTATCTTTTTCATTCCTTTTACCCTATCCCTTCTTTTTCTTCCTTCCCTCTTTCTTCCCCATCCCTCCCTCTTTTCCTTCTACTGCCTTTCCTTTCCTTTCTTTTCCTTTCATTTCTGTCCCTTCCCTTTCCCTTTCTCCCTTCTCCAGCTCTGGCAACATGGCTCTCTTTGTGGCTCTTTCCTTCTCTCTCCATTTATCTTCATATATATGTTATTTTTGTTTTCCAATGATGACATAGAAAGCTACTTTACTAGCAAGTCAATCCTTCACCTAGCACCAACCAATCCAGTGGCATTACATAGATCCACTGGATTTTCACATAGACACAGCCTTTGTGGTACAGACAGACAGGCATACTTCAGCTAGGCACTATGAAATAGTGGAAGGCTACAGAGTATGCCTGCACATCAGAATAGCATTCAGCACACAACAAAAAACAAGGTTTACTTTTTTAAAAAACATCAAATATTTTGAACTATGGTTGGCTGAATCTAGGGATGTAGAATCCATTGCCAAGACAGGGGCATTGGGAGAGCCATGTTTTCCTCTTGTTTTAACTGCAACATTCCCTTCCATTGTTTTTCCTAAGGAGTTATCATATTCAACAATGCACTGAAATACAATATATTTAGTAGAATATAATTGTAGAATTAATACATGACTAGAAGAGTGCTTCATTAATATATGCAGTACATTTCCAATATCCATGGAAGATATGTTCCAAGCCACTGCTACTTCCGCCATAGATACCTAAAACCATGGATAATAGCAAAACTTACATTTTGACTATTCTCGGCCTGAAGATGTATCTTAAAATCATTGGATAACATAGAGAGCCCACAAACACATCCAGTGGGGCATTTTTTGGAAGCATTAGTAAGTGAAGCAATGAATATAAAATCCATGGAAAGGGGGATAAAAAAATCATTCAAATACAGGCAGTCCCCAAGTTACTAACATTTGACTAACAAATGACTCATAGTTAAAAACAGGGGCAAGACAACAGGAAGTGAGAGAAATCTACCCAGAAAGGGAAATTCACTCATGAAAGAATTATCATGGGGAAAAAAGATGTGTCCTCTAAATCTTTATTACCAATCATTGTTTCTACAACAAGCATTTTTTTTCCAAAATCCAATGACCACAGGAACAGAAAGTGAAGAGAAATCTTCTGAACAAGGGAACAGACAGTAAAACAAACACCACAAGGGTGTTAAGCCCTCCCTGTGCTATCCAGAGCTAAAACTATCTATCTATCTATCTATCTATCTATCTATCTATCTATCTATCTATCTATCTATCTATCTATCTATCATCTATCTATCTATCTATCTATCTATCATCTATCTATCTATCTATATGGCTGGAGGTATACTTAAAAATGTACTTGTTTGGACTTACATGCAAATTCAACTTAATAACAAACCTACAGAACCTATCTTGTTTGTAACTTGGGGACTGCCTGTAGTAAAAACAACAATGCTACTTTCTATATTGTGGTAAACTTTTTTCAGTTCCTTTGACAATTTCTTCAATTTCTTAGAGTTTCCCCTTTTCACTGTAAGGTTTGGCATCACAGTGTGTGTGTGTGTCAAGTGAACAATGGCTTATTGATTGGAAATTGTACTGCATAATAGATTTGATGCTTTGTAAATGAAATCAAGAATAAGTAAAGGGATCAAAGTCTTCCTCTATTAACAGGCCTGGACATTCTAAATACCACCAATAATTTGGGAATGACTTTGAGAGAGGGACTCATTTGCTTAAAATTATGGCTTTAGGACTGTGATTACAAATCAAATATAGCTGCAGTTTTTCATCAAGCTCTTTCTCCAACACTATTATACTCATTGAAATGGACCTTGTGCACGAGGTATTTTTTAAAAACTTTCTGAAGGTATGTTCTTGTTCATCTCTTCTCCCTTCTGTGAAAATGAGGAATTATGTAAAGATGAAAAGCAAAATCATATTATGTTTTTATTCATTGTTTGTATCCTCTCTCATTCTTCTATATTTTTGTGTTATTCTTTTTTGTCTTGATAATATTATTCTAAATCCTTTTGGTTTTGTTTCAATTGCATCTAAAATGAGATAAAATGCTTTTGAATTTTGGACTGAATAAACTTCACTAGTTGTGCATTATTTAAACATCTATTAAATGAGCAGAAATGAAAACCCCTGGATGATTGAAGACCATGGTGTGTATGTTGTCCTATCGCAGATATTCTTTGGATCGTCACACTGATTTTGACAGAATATTCAACATCCACTCAGGAAACGGGTCCATATTTGTCTCAAAGACACTTGACCGAGAAGCAGCTCCATGGCACAACCTCACTGTCATAGCAACGGAAATCAGTAAGTTTCAGCTGCATCATAATTGGATGTGAAAGGGAGGGAGGAGGTGTTATATACCAAAATCAATGGCCTTAAACATTCATATTCACATGGTGTTATATCCCACTGAATTCCAGCTTCCAAAATTATGTAAATCTTGTAGCTGGAAGTGACTGCAATGCAACAAAATGCAGTTGAATAAAATTGGCAGTTGTTACTAGCACAGCCATAGTTAAAAGATAGGTGTGCCAATATAGATTCCACTATTATTGCATTTTTCATGTTCTGTAGTGACAGAATCTTTATGATGTCATATTGACATCCCTGTAGCCACATACAAACAATATGCACCTATTTAAATTAACAAAGACACCTAGGCTCTTTTTTGATCAGAATTAATGTGCAATATCTACATTGACTCATGGATAAATTGAGTCGAGTTTTGGGATTTGGTTTTTTGCCTAATATTTCTAGACTTCTACATGAGTATATATGTTATAAGTATCTGAATAAGAAAACATTTCCTCTTCGACAATGGGAGGTGTGAAAAGATGCTTCTGCCAGCTTATACAATGTGACTATGCTTTAATAACAGTTTATTATTATCATTATTGCCCCCTTGCTTTGTTGGGATGCAATAATGTTCTGTACAAGAAGAATGTAAGTATATCTCATAGTGACAATGGGAAAAATAGCAGGCAGGTTTTAGTTAGTTAGGGTAACCTCAAAGTCTTCCCTCTTATGGAAACTGCCCTGCTCCTCTGTGTGGCATAGTCTGATGTCTCTCAAAGTCTTTACCTATCTTCTCATTCTTCTGCCATTCCTGCCTTCCCTATTGACCACTTTAGGATGCAGGGTCAGCTTAGAGAATGGCCCATTTTATTTTTTCTTATCAGAAAATGAGGTTTCAAAATTAAGATTACTTTAGTTCTCCAACAAAGGTGTGCTTTTCTCCTCAAATTCCCATCACTCACACACATTGCTAAATCTTTTCACCTCTGCCAACATCTTTAAGCCATCCTTTATACCCAGAGGTGGGATGTAGTTTATACACATGCATTACGGTATATGCACACATAGACCAACAGTAACATTAAAGAGATTAGGCCACACATAGTCTATTATAAGTTGTCTTTCACACTGTAATGCATTTGTGCTCCAGTTATGTCAAGTCTTGGGCTGTTTTGTGAATGATAGAAATGGGGTGGTGTGTGTGTAATGCAATGTTTCTCACATTCTCAGTTATTATATGAATTAATTTTCCTTTGTACTTTGCCAGTGGGCACAACCACCCTTTTATGTCCCTGAGGCACCATACTACTCGCAGGGTCAGGAATAAATAACAATACATTTACAGCTATGCTTATAGCAGTAGGTATGTTACTGTTGGTCTATGTGTGCACAAATTGAAGTTAAGAACACACCTACAGTACCTATCTTGTTTGTAACGGTTATAGCAGTAGGTGTGTTACTGTTGGTCTATGTGTGCACTGGAGGGGCATCCCATTCAGCTGTCTCCCAAATGTACCCTGCTGCTTGTGGATAAAGGAGAAACAATACAAAACAGAGTATATAAAGTACTTCTGATGGTGCCTACAATAGAGTAAGAGAAACATGGTTGTATTGATAATGGTAGGTGATCATAAAAGAGAGAGCATTGAAAAATCTGAGAAAAAAGATTAAAAACCAAATATATGCTCACAAAATTGTATATAAGTGGGAAAATACATTATTTTGTTTATCATCTCTGAACAAACTGTGCTAGCAGAAAAATACAAATTTGGAATGATTGCTTGGAGTAGAAAAAAATTCTGGCTTTCCAAAAGAGATGTAGATTTTTTTTATTTTTTTTACTTTGTTGCTAAGAAGAAATTACAGAAAACAATTTATAAAGGTATAAACCTAAAATTGCATTAAAAAGGTTGAAGGATTACCCTGTCAAAGTATTTAAAGTCACTAGGCCTTCCTTGTAGTATACTGTCATATTAGGTTCTCATTCCGATGTTATTTGCTGCTGTCCCAAATAGTGGACTTGGTATGCTGCTTATCACATATTATGTGCTTTGCTAGTTTTGTATTGACCAGCTATTCCATCACAATATCTTAAGTTGTTATGGCATTATATCACAAAATAAGACAGCAGATATTCACTAAGACATTCAATGCTATGGGCAACACACAAGATATGTACTGTAGGTGTGTTCTTAAATTCAATTTGTATGTAAGTCGGGACAGGTACATTTTGAAGTGTAGCTCCAGGCACTTGTTATTAGTTTGGGATACCATAGGAAACGGTTAACACCTCTATATAATGTTTGTCTTGCTGCCTGTGCCCCTGTTCAGAAGATTTTGCCTTACTTTCTATCCCCATAAGAATTGGATTTTGAAGTTTTGGGTAGTAGTGGAATCAATAATTGGTGATAAAGCTTCAGTGGGAACACCTTTCCCCCATGATAACTCTTAGAAGAGTGAATTTCTCTTCCTAGGGGTAGATAGATACTCAATTACTTTCTGTTTGTTACTCTGGGGCCCCTTTCACATCTATATAAATAAAAATGTAATGTTAGTTCGTGCTACCATCAGAACTCAAAAACCACTGGGGGAAATGACACCAAATTTGGACACAAGACACCTAACAATCCAATTTATGTCCTCCACTCAAAAAAAATTGATTTTGTCATTTGGGAATTGTTGTTGCTAGGATTTATAGTTTACCTACAATCAAAGAGCATTCTGAACTCCACCAATGATGGAATTGGGCCAAACTTAGCACACAGGGCTCCCATGACCAACAGAAAAAACTGAAAGGGTTTGGTAGGCATTGACCTTGAGTTTGGGAGTTGTAGTTCACCTACATCCAGAGAGCACTGTGGACTCAAACAATGATGGATCTGGACCAAACTTGACACAAAAATTCCATATGCCTAAATATAAACACAGATAGAGTTTGGAGGAAACAGACCTTGACATTTGGGATTTGTAGTTACTGGGATTTATAGTTCACAATTAAAGAGCATTCTGAAACCCACAAACGACAGAAATGGGGCAAACTTCCCACACAAAACCCCATGACCAACAGAAAATACTTAAGGCTATCCAGTCCAACTCTCTTCACTAGGGCAAGAAAATGTAATCAGAGCCCTCCTGACAAAGAGTCATCCAGTCATAAATATATAGATAGATATGATTCTCTCTCACACACACAGATATAGTATCATAGATTTGAAAGAGACCCTTAAAGAAGGACTATGATATGTTGCATATTCCAGAGTAGGCAAACCAGACACTCTCCACATCAACACTGACAAAGAAACAACAAGAAATACTGTTTACTCACAAGCATAAAGGAATTACATATATTAGAAACCAACACTTTCTCATTACTTTATTTTCAAGATCACCAGACTTGGCGACAGCAACGCGTGGCAGGGGACAGCTAGTAGCTGAATAAAATCTTACATTATCTGCTTTGAACTGGAATATATGGTAGTGTGGACTCAGATAACCCAATTCAAAGCAGATATTGTCAGATTTTCTATCTTGATATTCTGGGTTATATGACTGTGTGGGAGGGCCCTGGGATTGCCTGTAGTGACTAAATCTGTAAAATCAAAATATCTGTTCTCCCAATAAGAAACTGGCATCTATGAAATCTTAATTCTGGAATGATCTTACTCAAAGGTGAAGAGATGAAAGTAGAAAAAAGACATGTGCAACCTCAGGTTTCTATTGCTGGTGCTGCTCAGTGGTACTGAAATTGTGGTTGTACAATGGCATTAATCAGAAAAAAGCATAACCTTGCAATCCAACTGAGGAAGTTATCTACTGACCAGTGACAGGTGGAAATTCTCGATTTTGTTTGTTGAGGCTAAGTTGGAAAACCAAGCGTATTCATTTTCATAACAAGATGAGACAATAGACATTCTTAAGGCAGAGATACAACAAATAGCACAGTATGGAATGCACTAAATCATCCACATAGCCATAGTCTGTTACTGACAGACATACAATAATACCACCACACTCTCTATTCTTCATATATATACTTAGGAAGTTTTCAGCCAGTCATTTCATTGTGTCTGCACCAATAGCAAATTGTACTTACATTGACTTTAAATCTCATACAGAGCAACCTATTTCTCCTTTCAAAAATTGGCTGGTGTACTTGCAGACAGAGTAAGTACTTTTCTTATCAATCCATCATGGACTGTTTCTAAAGAGAAAGTAGTACATCACCTCATATTTTGGCTGAATAGCACATTTGAGCAACTGCCTTACAAACATAAAACAAACAAATAAAAATATCAGCCATAAATTACTCACACTTTCTGGCAGAGAACTTTAGAGTGCAATATATAGTTCTAGATAGAAAGTGAACCCTGAGTTACAAACATCTGACTTACAAATGTTTCATAGTTAAGAGAAATCTACCCCTAGAAAGGGAAATTCACTCCTGAAAGAGTGATCATGGGAAAAAGATGTCTCTACTGAAGCTTCATCACCAATTCTTGTTTCCACTACAATCCACATTTTTCAAAATCCAATTATCACAGGGACAGAAAGTGAGGTGAAATATTCTGAACAGGAGCACAGACAGCAAAACAAATGTTAAATGGGTGTGTTAACCCTTCCCTATGCTATCCAAAATGTGAAAGCATTCACACGCACGCACACACACATTCACTCCTGGAGTTACACTTAAAAATGTACCTGTTTTGTTTTTTTACAGAACCTATATTGGGGACTGCCTGTATTTAGATGGTATCTTGTATCCTAGTGTCTTTAAAACACACACACATTGCAACAACCACAGTGAAGCCCAACCTGTACACGCACACACCTATCTATCTACTATCTGTCTGTCTGTCTGTCTGTCTGTTGCATTACTATGGGGAAAATATCAAATCACTATTTATAATTAATCTTAGAAGGTAACATTTCTCTATCTGATGCTTTTGTTTAATACAGCAAGGTGATCCAGTACTTCCTCTAGGGTGATCAAATAAAGTCTATTTGGTGAAGAGTTTGGGGATTTATTGTGGTTTTGTGTCTTCAAGACATACCCAACTTATAATGACTTGAAGTGAATCAATCACAGGGTTTTCCCTGAATGTGATTTGCTGGGTTTCTAAACCTTGTTCTGCATGGAAAAAATGCAAGATTCTTCTTGGCATGTAATGTCTTCATAAATGGACTTACGTAGGCAAGCATTTTGCAATTGAATAATGCCTGCATCCAGTAGTGAACAGTTGTTACATTAATATGTAACACATCTGATAAGGTACATCAGCATACAATGTCCATTGATGTGTAATATACATGAGTGCACAATGTACTATGATGCACATTGTGCATTAAAACACACAGGCCTTGTGCATGGATGTGTATCAATCCTGAAGTGCATTAGGCACTCCTGCTGATATCCTGTGACCCATCTTCAGAATTCACTAAGTGCCTCTGTTTTATAGCTATGTTTACATACAGGTAACATAGCAGCTCATGTAATATTCCAGCAAATGCTTCTTCTCCACATGCTTTTTAGCCTTTTGGTTTTTACCAGAGACATCCAAACAACATATTTGATAAAAATGAATTAGTTCAGAACAAACAAAGGTTTCCTTGGTTTGTTCTGAATTAATTAGATACTCCATTAGATTTAGAGCCTTCCCAACTTTATGGCAGCCTTTAAAGTAAGTTCTTGGGACTGAATTTGGGGCTTAGGGGTGACTTCATGCCATCCCCATTTGTCCCGGGATGACATATAGCCCCTCCCCCAGGGAAACCTGGTGTTTGGGTAGGGGAGTGGGGATAGGAACCTGCACCAAAGTGGGTTATTTAAACCCACTTTGGTGCAGGTTTTTTATGCTGTCTGGAAGTGGTCATATACATTTGGGGAGTTGCTGCATATTCATTATTTGTTTTTATTTCAGGCAATCCAAAACAAAGTACTCAGGCACCTATCTTCATCCGGATTTTAGATATAAATGATCATGCACCAGAATTTGCCAAGTACTATGAAACTTTTGTTTGTGAAAATGCCAAAGCAGGACAGGTAACTATATGTTCTTCATATAGCACGAATAGATATCTGACATAATGTTTATTGTTCTTCTTTATTTTGTAGAGTTTCTTTATTGTTTTCTGATTAGTAGAAGTCACTAGACCACCAGGCTTTAAATAGGCTAGAAACCATATTGTCTCCCACTGTCAGTATTTCTGAATTAGACCAATTATTTGACTACCTAGATATTTTACCAAAATTATTAATCAACTGTATCAAAACAATGGATGAGCTTAAAAGACTTTGTACACATATTTTATCTATTTACCTGTTGCTTTCTAAAACATAAAATGCAACATTTGCATATAAATGATATTTGTTTTAAAAACATTTTTTAAAAAAGTCCTTTTCATTCTTCCTGAGGGAACAACAATTTTGTGGCAGATGAGAATAGCATGTTTTGATATGTTATTTTTATTTCTCACTGAGGAAAAGCACATTTGTGAATTTCTTTTATATTTCCCATTTATCTTAACTAAGTTCATGTATTATGACTGTGTACTTTGTTTTTATCTCTCTTTTATTTTTTCCTATTTGAAATAATTTGTGTACAGAGGAGGAGGTAGAGGCTTTTCACCAGAACAACTATCTGGTTGGAAACTGTTAGGGGTGTGTGAAATATTGTTTTCATTTTGAATTTTGGGTAACCCCACCACAGTTCTGCTATTGGGAATAATCTGGGAATTTGGGGGGGGGGGAAGCTGTTCGGGTTCGGAACCCTGTGTTCCATTTTTGTTTCGAGAAAATTTGTTCCATTGGTGCCAATGTTGAAAATTTAAAGGCTTGTTTCTCTGTTATTCTTATGGTTTGCAGGATGAAACTTGGCACACTTGTAGGACACATACATGGCTGAAAGCTTGCCTAGTTTCAAGATGTTTTGCTCATCTAATGATTTGTTTTGAATTTTTTAAAATTTTTACAAATAACATTTTTTTAAAAACAAAAGAGGGGGTTTTTTTAAAAAAAAATAATTACCCACAGTGACAGAATATGAGTAGGGCATAATTCCTGCAAAATTTCTCAAAGACCTGATCATCCACTAATTTTTAGACATTTTTATTTCTCTCTCTCCTACTGAGAGGAGGAGACTACTTGCAGGACAAAAAGTAGGTAATCCTGGGACTTGAATTCCAGGGCCATGGAGAGGAAAACCAGCCTGTGATTGGCTGAGGCACACCATGTGCTGCAGCAAATATAGCTGCACTCAGCCTCATCATCCCCATAGAGAGATAATGCTGCTTCAGCTATGTAAAAAAAAAACAGGCAGAATATAAATGAACCTAATGAACTTTTCCCCAACTTCCATGGGGAGTGAGGGTGTTTTTGCAGAATTTGGTCAAATTCCAAATCAACTGCTAGAATTTCACACATCCTTAGTAATTGTGGAAAAAAATATTATATACAGAGAGAGAGAGAGAGAGAAATAGAATTAGATTGTGTCTTCTTTGCTTTTACCTCTTTGCAGAAACAACCATCTATCTATCTATCTGGTTGCTTCTACAAAGAGGTAAAATAAAAGAAGACACCATTAAGTACTCATTCTTTTTTTTAATATAATCTTTATTAAATTTTCCAATTACCATTAAAATATAGAATCTGTAGTCCGGATTATTAAAATGTATGTGATCTGAAATATAGCGAAAAGACCCGAAAGGAGAGTTGTGTTAGCTAATAGCGAGGAAAGGGGAAAGGGAGATCTAAAGATAATCAAAGAGAGAGAATCAGAATAAATAGAAAAAAGAAATAAAAATATAGAATAGCCCAAAGCCCGGTTAAAAGTCAGAGTAATAGATGTTGATGACTTCCTGGAGTCCTCACGAGGTCAAGTCCACCTTCTTTCTTCACTTTCTATTCTTTCTTGTTTCTCCTCAAACTTCTTTCTCTTTTTTCTTCCTTCCATCTTTCTCTTCATCAGTTAGATTAGGATCTTTTTGTTTTTATGTCTGAAGTAGTCCATTACCTCTTTCCAATTTGTTTCTTTCATGTTCATCCCTTTACTTTTTGATATTAGGAATGTAAGTCTGTCCATATTTTGCATTTCTAGAATTTTTGTTAATCTTTCATCTTCATCTGGTATTTCCTGCTTTTTCCATCTCCTAGCATAGCAGATCCTTGCTGCCGTTGTCAACAAAAAGATGATTTTGTCTGTATTCTTTTCAATCTTTAGATCATGCATCCCCAAAAGAAAAAAATCTGCTTTCCATGGTATTTTTATTTTTAATATTTCTTGTAATTCTTTTTGTAACCATTAAGTACTCATTCTAACAACACATACTATAGACACAAATGTCAACCCTATTAATTCAATGGATCATGGCCCTACATAAGCATGCAATGGATGTAGTGTTTAAACTCTATCCCACAGTTTTCTGGATCTTTATTGAACTTGGTGTGACTTTCTACCCAGAAATCAGGAGCCCCCGGTGGTGCAGTGGGTTAAAGCAATGTGCCGGCAGGACTGAAGACCGACAGGTCGCAGGTTCGAATCCGGGGAGAGGCGGATGAGCTCCCTCTATCGACTCCAGCTCCTCATGTGGGGACATGAGAGAAGCCTCCCACAAGGATGATAAAACATCAAATCATCCAGGCGTCCCCTGGGCAACGTCCTTGCAGACGGCCAATTCTCTCACAACAGAAGCTACGCTCCTGACACGACACAAAACAAAACAAAACAAAAACAAACAAAAAAAAACACCCAGAAATCAAGCCTGGCTCTTGGTATTAAACTTTCTTTCCCATGTTTATGAGATGCATGGTCATGTAAATTTCCATATCAATGCCAGGAGCTTGTTGGTCTACAATGCTATGAAGAAGTGGAAAAAGAAGGTGAAGTCTGCTGTTAGCTGTCTTTCTCCAGTGTCTTATTTCCATCACTGCACATGTGGAATTTTTACTCATCACCACTTTTATCATCATATTGATATAGTTTACTATTAGAATTCCAACACATATAGCTAAAGGGGGAAAATCCAAATGGAAAAATATCTTTTTTTTCCCAACATCCACCTGCTGATAAGTTGTGTGAGAGACAGATTATCAATATCTGGCTCAGGGTGGTTAGGAGGAATTACCTTGGATAAAATTAGTTTGATTATTTCTTAAAGGCCAGGGTTGTCAGCTGATTTAATTTTTTCTAGTTAATTAATTATCTGATTTTCCACTGATTACTTAATTGATTTCATATAAATAAAATGTGTACTTTGTAAAGTCAGAATGTCCTTCCATAATTCTGAGGAAAAGAGGGGGAAACACTGAAAGTTCTCCTGCTGGCACTGTCTCCAGTAGATACATTATTACTGTGCTTCCTTTCCATATAATACACAAACAAGATCAAACTGGTTGAACTGACTGCAGTTCACCTGCTATCAAGTCCCAAGTGCTTTCCAGAGCTTGGTTTTTATAGGCCACTACAAATTATATGTTTGTACTCAGAGTTCAAGGGGTTTGGCAGTACAACTAATCTCACTTACTTTCTGAAAAGTCTCTTAAAAAGCTACAAAGGATATGCTTTGGAGGAAGTAGATGGTGGATACTGCACATTGTATTCAGAATGCCTTTATCATTCAACCAAAATTGAGAAGTACTCATTGTGATTTTCTGTAAGCAGAACTTTGTGTCCAGAATGTCAATTTTAGTGAAATTCTTGGAGTTGTAAAATAAAATAAAATACTATATATTTTTTTAATCTCAGTCTTCTGGTAATTACAATTCATGAATACTGCCTTAATATGAAATAATAGTCCATTGAATTGATATTTAAGGGAATAAAGTATTACTTTGACCCAATAGGCATTGAAATAAACCATGTTCAACATTGCAAGAATGAGCTGCAGGGAATGCATATATAAAACATTACTTTGACCCAATAGGCATTACAATAAAAATATGTTCAGGAATGAACTACAGCAAGCTTTTCCCTCTGTTTTTTAAAAAGAAAACCAGTTATGAGAAAGAGGCTAAAAGTTTCATTTCCATTATGGACTACACCTGATTTTGTTTTGGTTGGGAGTTTGTCTAAACTATGGTTAATCTTAACCATGATTTGTTAAGATAACGGATCTTCATAACTCACGCATTGAAGCTGATCTCTCTCAAACAAATCAGAGTTAAAATTAAACATAATCTAGCATTTTCTGACAAAATCAAGCAGTATTTTTCTTTTTTAAAATGAAAGTTACATCCTCCAATCTTTCCCTGATCAAAAGTAAGAAGTAAGAAAGGGAAGTGTGTGGAACTGTAGTATCTTACAGCTTGTTTCTATAATAATAAGCTTGAATGTATTGATTGCTAACAGCATCAGACATTATTTGATAAAACTAATTTTCTGGATGTATTTCAATCTGAATTCAATTTCAGTTTTGGCACAGAAATTGTCTTAGTCACTCTGCATAATTGCTTAATTTGAAGGAAAGTGTTGGAATGTGACCATATTTTTCTTCATTATCTTTCATTAGCTTTTGAAACTATTGATCATGGTGTCCTGTTTGAGAAACTATCTGTGTTGGAAATACAGTTTTGCAGTAGTATCATTCTGGCTTAGATAACTAATTCTAGAAGGTAGCATACCTGGCTCTTCAGGTTGAGTTTTCAGAGTTTAGATTTGTTTTCCACCTACAGAGGATGGAATAATCTGAAACTATGAAGTATGTTGTCATCAATACACTTATGTCTTTGATCGCTATCTTTCATTTTTATTTTTATAATTTAATCTATGCCTTGCTGAAACTATTCCATGAATGAGGTTCAAAAACTGAGGCCTGGCTAGTTAAGACTTTGGTCTTTTAGTTAGGATTTTTTTACCTCTTTGAGAGAATGAATAGTGTTCAACCTGGTCTAGCTGTGTTTGCACTTCCCCAAAGGAACATGTTGATCACTTTGAATTCATATCTGCCATCCTTTTGGAAGGCTCTTAAATTTCTGGTGTCAGTCTATATTCAAATGAATCGTATCTCTGCCCTTGATTTCCAATTGCTATATCACCTCTCGGTGTT